TGATGAAAACAGGTATACATGGCCTTTCTAGCAGAAAAGCACTATGATGATATGACTATGCTAACTAGATCCCTAGACCATAAAGATGGCTAAGACTGACTTCAAATAACTCACCAAGAAGAGACAAATAAATGTAATTCAACATGATCAAATATTGCACAGATATACATAGAAATGTACATTCTATTCTCTTGAGCTCAAAGAACAGAATTGGGAAAGGTTCCCCAGAGGGCCTGACATTTAACCAAGGTCTTAAAGAGTAAGTGTTTTCAAAAGGCAAACAAAGAATTCCAGACAGAAGGAACCAGTTTAGGAAACAGGAGGCATAAAAGAGCATAGCAAATTTGGTAAACCTGAAAGGTTCACAATCATGAAAGGTTGTGAATGGTGCAACAGATGGTGTAAAACAACCCAAGGCACACAAGCCAGAAAACATTATTCCAGGCTTCTCCACCCACTTCTTTACCCTATACTTTTGATCAGAAACCAATCTAGCTTATTTCACTCTCGTAAGTATTTAATTCTCTCCTCTCCATTCCCAATTCTACTACTTCACCTCCTCCAACTTTTTTTTTTTTGCCTAAGTTTTCTAATTGGCCTTCAAATCCCCCCACTTCCATTTTAGCCTACATAGTCACTGAAATGATTTTACTGAAGTACAAATCCGATCAAACCATTTCTTTGCTCAAAATTCCATACAGTTCTCTAGCACTTCAGAGAAAAATTTCAACATCGTTGGCATCACTGTAATTCCTATACAATTAGGGCCCTTTCTGCCTTCTCAGACTCAGACCCTATTCTTCACCCTTCCAGTTGCCTCATTAGCTGTGTAGTAGTGGGCAAGTCACCAACCACAGTGAGCCCATTTCCAGCCACATCTTTAAGATTGAGATAATAGTTTCTCTCCATGTGTTCAGGATTAAATAACACTATACATCTGAAACGTAAGAGTCTGGCCTTTATCTTGCATATCCCAGGGACTCATTAAGGAATTTTAAGCAGAAGAATGACATGATTAGGTTAGCACTTTAGAAAGATTAAGGTCAGTAGTGGGAACGGGTTGGAGAACAAAACCAGAGGTGAGCAAGATCAGTTAGGCAGAAATACAAGGTGAGACATCAAAGTGCAATGGCAACGGGAATAGAGAGGAAAAAAAGGAAACTAAAGAATGTTAAGGGATATAATCAAAATAACTTGGTTCCTAATTGGAAGTAGAAGGTGAAAGAAAAAGGACTTATCAGAAGGCAAGTTTTAAAAAAAAGGCTCCAACATCTTCAGGAACAAAAGCTGATCCTAACAAGTTTTTACACATTTTCTGCCCTTGAATGAAGCTATTCTTCACGATTTGAAAATGAATTTACCTTCTAGAAGTAGAGAAAAGTGGGCTGGGATCACGTCTTATGAACAAACTAAGAAATTAGGCTGTGAAATAGCATTTGGGATCAAAAGTGAGCAAAGATGATTATGTAATGTTGCTTCTATCGTGTTCTAAAGGCATTTTTCCAAAGGAAAATGATTCCACAGACTGGAATAAATGTACAGTCTTCCAAGCAGGCAGGAATCATATGTAACAAGTCTTTGCTTTAAAAAACAATCTAGTTATGTTATACTCAAACCTTGTAAATAATCACACTGTCAAATAGGAGGCACAGTTTCATGAGAAGAATCCCAATAAAGCATCAAGAGACCTGGGCTCTATATGCCCTCTTGATGTATTACCTTAGGCAAATTACCTAATTATTTAGTACTGTTACCCTGTGTAGGACCAAGGCAACAATACCCTATCTACCTCAATGAGCGGTTATTCACATTAAACCTGTGTACAAGTACTAAGAAAAACTACAATTCCTAATCCATAGTTCTTCAGCAGAATGCAGATGCAGATAGAAATTTCAAATGCAGACAGAAATTCGATTCATCATATAGTATGACTACTCAATTGTGACCATATGTTATATGGATTGACAATTTTAAACAGGACATTTTACATTTTACACTTTGGCATATCGTTAGAAAAGCAAAAAATGTTATTGGAAACAGATGCTGAACCACTGATCCTTATGATTTGGAAGCCTGAGGTGAGAATTTCTGGATATTCATTTATCCAAAAGATGGTACCAAGAAATACATCACTTCTGTCTGCAGTAGACAAGCTAAAGGTGTTCCTTACATGACATAGTCAAATATCAACTTTCCATTGTAAGTGGTTCTTACACTTCATCCTACAAATCATTGCTGATTAGATTTTCTCTTAATGAGGTATTTAAGTGAGCCAACAAGTTCAAGACCAAGTTTTTAGATTCTCTGTCCCTTACGTCCCAAGCAATCAGCACAGGTGCTATGGATGTGACTGGTGCATACAGCCTTGGCCAAGAGCTAGAGACACAAAACCACTACTGGACCTCCAGGACAGGGTAGCCAGTGTCCCAAGGGTTCTTTCAGGATATTACGTGTCCTTTCTCTATCTTCTTGAAGCTAAGACAGTTATACAGAATCAACAAAGGAAAGGACAATTCCCATTCTCAGTGACTGCCACAAAACATCATGCTAATGGAGATATCCAGTCCGTTACACTGAATTCTCAGGTGTTGCACTTAAGAATTAGGACCTAGAGTTTCTCCGGTTAGTTCTAAGGTAGTTACCGTAGCTGCCTTTGTACAGACCACTAAGCTCCACTGTGGCTCCTAGAACCTCTGCCCTCAACTCATTTCCAAGACAACAAAGCAGGCCCTGATAGGGTTTATGAACAGAGTATGCCCAACTATAGTTCATTCTTCTACTTTTTAACTCCACAACACTTGCTTCGTAGCAGTATTTTTAAACTAATATAATTTCTTGTGGTATGTATTACAGTCTCAGATTTGAATCTCAGCTCTGCTCCCTACTGTTAGTGTGGGCCACAACTACACTTCTTTAAGCCCTGTTTTTCTCATATCTAAAAGGGGATACTATCACCCGATTTTTGGTAAGATGCAGCCAGGCTCAAATGAGATGAACAAACCTAAGGTGGTGTCCTGTGAAACATGGAGTGTGCAGCCCACCTCTCTCTCATGCCACTCAGTCTTGCGCACAGCTGATGCTCAGCTTAGTTCTGGAAACTCCGCAGTTATCTTTTCACTTAGCAGTTGAGCCTTAGCTGGAGAGGCCTGGATTCTGTAGTCACACCCTTCTCCAGAGAATGATACCTACCACATCTGGTTCTGTAATGGTACCTGAGATTCAGTTAGGAGCAGCCCTAAGAAAAGGGCAAGGTGCTGAATTACTATGACCAATGAGTCCGTATCCGGTTGATGACTGGGAGGCGGGAGTATAACAGACAAATCCAGCGCTTGGAGCTGCCGTTCTTCTCTCTCTAGTTTCCAGGCTCCCACAGCTTTTTGTTCACCTCTGTTGTCCTCTCATCTATAAACCTCCCAGGTCTGACCCCCACAGGTGTTTTACCCACAAATCTCCTCCTTACCCTTCTCTCTCAGGTAACAGTGAATGATCACAACCTAATATCTAACCTGACATCTAATGCTCACCTGGCAGCCACAGCACCAGGAGCAGAGAGCATGGCAGGCAACCACACACGGGGCTGAGGTAAATGGGGTTCTTACAAATTGTACCTCTCCACCACCATCCAGGCTTAAGAACTGTACCCCCTTCCTTTAGATTAAAAAAGGTGGGGCAGGTCAGGGTAACCAATAAACAAACTCAAAGAGACTCTACTTAACACCTGCTCAGATAGCAAAGCTGTGCTTCATGGATACATCTGTGGTTTCAAGAATGATAAGCCAAGAGATAGAGCAGCCACAAGAAAGGAGGAGAAAAAGAAAGAAGCCATAAACACTTCTGGAAGCAGATCATTTTTCCCCATTGTGAATGCACAGATAATTTAATGTAATTTACTTGATTTTCCCCTCTCAGGGTCTGACTTCAGAAAATCAAATTACAAAGTCATCGTCACATCCTAGATTTATTACAACTGACCTGCAGGCAAAAGGATAGAACTATTACATAAACACTTGGATTCCATGTATATATCTTAAATAGAGGAAGAATTCAAACAAGAATACAAGATAAAATATTCCAAAGCTCCAAGAAGCAGTTATGTTACTGAGCTCCATTTTTACAGACAAATAAGGCAATATCCCTGCACATTAGCTTTTTGATAATTTTTATACATTTTTCTATGGTACAAGGGAAAAATAACCAGAGCTCACAATGTACAGTTCTTACACTATTTTCACAGTTTGTGAACACTATATACCCTTTTGTTTTAATAAAGATACATTGTAATAAACTCCTTGACCTTAAGTTTATAGTTTACAATAATCTATGATTAATACACTAAAATTGCCTTTTTATGTGGTCATCCACACAATAGAACGGTCAGATTAGCTCCTGGACAGTCAGAGTTGCTTTTATTTCCATTTGCATAATGGCAAGTGACCCTATGCTGAGCCAGACAGGAAGTTGACAGCAGAGAAACAGATTCCTCTTGAGTCCCAGGAGCAATGGAGGATGATGGCTTGGTGTGGTCGAAGGAAGACATATAACAACGCCTCCTTTCAGAACACTGGGAAGTCTAAGGGTTTAAGATGCCATAGGGGAGAAAATAGGGAAATGAGGAAAGTGGACCAAAATCATTTCTGAATTCTGCAGTTTACAGGGATGTAACTTTAAACAGCACCATTCTCCCTTTATTGTTTTATAATATTTATATGACTGTCACTCTGAGAAGAGATACAGCAATATCTGCCATGATTTGGTTCCATAATGGCATCACCTGTATCTCAGACCATGGCTGTTTTATACTCCAGTGTGCTTGAACTACTCACAGTGCTGCTTAACTGTCATACAACGCCTAAAGTTCAGTGTCAGGGAGGCTGGAGCAAAACCTAATGAGAGCCTAGCTCATGGGTAAGTGAATTAGCACAGCAAAAGACAACAGACTTAAATTGCCTCTTATAACTCTTCTGGGGTTTTTGTTTTGCTTTTTTAAAAAATTTCCTGGCAGAATTCCAATTTCGAGAAATGATGGTGAACTACTACAGATTCTAGCAAGTGACGGCCTTATCTAAAAGACTGCCACTTCAGGTCCTCATCTGGTCAAATGTGTCTCTAGAAAGATGCCTCTTTATCACCTACCACATCAGCTGGGCCCCACTTTTCACAGCCTTTTAAACATTAGAGCATATGAGCGATCTGGGGCTAAAAAACCTTGGTAAGGAACATCCCTGGTAATTATAAAGGTTTCGATATAGAAAAAAGGCAAAATATTGGATTAAGCAAAAGTCACATAGCGACAACAGACCATAGGGGGAGGAGTAAGGGAAGAGATTCAGAAACTGAAGTCTTAGACCAGTGATGGCAAGAAGCAAACAACTGAGATTTGGTCTTCTGCTGCCTACAAGAAATCTTTATCTAATCAATCAAGGCACATTGCTACTAGCTACTTCTCCCTGTTAGTGAGTTATGATGGCTAAAATATCAGGCTTGGGGCCAAGGGGAAATATATAGCTGCTACGAGTTTTTCCAGATAAGATACTAGAATTGGAGACATCTGTAAACTTTGCCCTCTGTACTTTTCTTCTTCTTTCAGTCCTGGTGGTTTGTGGCAGGTGGAACGTCAAGTTGGCAGCACACCAAATTCTGAGAATGAAAAATTCTTAGGATCAGCACCTTCTTTGACAAGTGGCAGACTCCTGAGTCTTCCCAATGAAGAGTAGAAGGACTGGTAAAGGAGAAAAGAACACATTCTGTCCTGTCTCAATATTTTAATGTTCACCTCTTTGAATGCAACATGGTTTTTGGTAAAGATAAACTCATTCTAATTTAACATATTTCAAACAGGAAATTTGGCTGAGCACATCGATCCCCAAACATCGACTGTGACTGTAAAGCAACAGAATATCAAATCAGTAAATCTATTGCACTTGGTGAAGAAAGTAAATTCCTCCTTTGTCTCCCAGCTCCAGAAGGCAATGTGTCTCGTTGGCTGTGCAAGCTCTTCTCACTCAAGCCCGAGTCTCTATGTTCAAACATAGTACATCCATCACCGTGTCCTTCCAGGATTTGGAAGTCTGACAAAACACCATTCCAGTAGCTGTGTCTCCAGGTTTTGAGTCTAGAAATGAATTTAAGATGTGATCTAATCACAGTCAACAACTTGATCGTACTGACTTCCACATTTCATGAATACGTTCATCACGTAAGAGCAGGATGAGGTCTCTCTGACCAGCACTAACACTGTGTGATCAATCAGGTATTACAGGGATGCACGTTCTAGGTGACAGGAGTATACAGACATGATGGAAACGAACACCAATCTTATTGCACATGGTGTCTGGGCGAGCAATAAAAACACTGTGATACAGGATGAAAATTCTTTACGTCTTGCTTCCTCTCAGCCCTTTTTTCTAGAGTCTGATGTAGCAGCGATATCAATCGACATACATGGGAGAGCTGGGAGTAGCTGGCATTTGATCCAGGATTTTACAAACATAGCATGCAACCTCAACGGTACGTTCTTCATACATCAAAATAAAGGTATGTTTCTGCAAGAAAATTGAAGAAAGAAAAAGAAAAACATCAAAAGTTTGTATCAGAGCACAAACTGAACTTTTCCCTAAATATATACAGCATAGAACTGCAGGCCCTCGACCACATGTATCTATAAAGTATTGTAGCACCACAAGTTCAGAGAGGCAAGTACAGCCTTTATTTCATGCAAATACGTTAGTGGGTGTGCCTAAATATGACACACGGTATTATGATTTGGAGGTGCCACCTTGGCAGTGAAGTCTGGAAACTTATCTGTGTATCAGGGAGTATTTGTTGAGGAAGAGAGCAGAGTTGTTCCTCAGCACAAAACATAGCTGGAGCCTCTACCACACCATCTGAGAGCCAAGAAGAACTACATGAATACCAATGATGATCCACTTCTACCTAATGAACAGGTAATATATTTTTTCTTCCTTATGATTTTCTTAATCACATTTTCTCGAGTTTATTTTATTGTAAAAATACAACGTACCTACAAAATATGTGTTAACTGACTCTTCATGGAATCCAGTGATACCCAACCTTTTTGGTACCAGGGACTGTCTTTCACAGAAGACCATTTTTCCACAGGAGGCGAAGGGAAGCAGAGCTCTGCAGCTCGGTCCATGGCCCAGGGGATTGGGTACCACAGATGTAATCACTAAGGTTTCTGGTCAACAGTAGGCTATTAGTAGTTAAGTTCTGGGGATTCCAAAGTTATACAATGATTTTCGACTGGGCAGGAGATCAGCATCCCTAGTCCTTGCATTGTGCAAGGGCCAACTGTATATCCTATCAAAAGTCTATGAATAATTAACTCTTAGTCTTTCCATTCCTGAGAGTGTCTATATGTCCTCCTTATTTTTGAATGATATTTGAGTGCCTGAATATAAAACTTTAAGACTAGGTTGACAATTATTTTTCCTCATCACTCTGGAACTTTGATTCCACTTTTTCCTGCAACTATTGTTGCTAATAACATGTTTATTATTAGTCTAAATATCAATCCTTATGAGATAGTCTGTTTTCTCTCCCTTTTACTTTATTATTGCTGTACAATTTTACTTCAATGCATTTAGGTATTGATTTACCTTTGTTTATACTACATGATATACAGTCTTTACTTTCAATCCGAAAACCTATTCTAGATCAATTTTCACATGTTCCCCTATTATCTCCTTAAATATTGCTTCTTCACTTTCAGAGTTGTCTTCTGTATTTTCATGACATACATCTTAGAGCCTCTCACTCTGTATTCTTTTTAATTTTTTAATTTTATTTTTTTATTTCTGCATATTATGGGGGTACAAATATTTAGCTTATGAATCCCTTGCCCTCCCCCCTCCCGAGTCAGAGCTTCAAGCGTGTCCATTCCCCAGATGGTGCGCATCGCACTCGTTATGTATGTATATACCCATCCCCTCCTCCCTTCTCCCATCTGCCTGATGCCTGATAAATGTTATTCCTGTATGTGCACTTAGGTGTTGATCAGTGAAACCAATTTGCTGATGAGTACATGTGGTGCTTATTTTTCCATTCTTGGGATACTTCACTTAGTAGAATGGGTTCCAGCTCCATCCGGGAAAATACAAGAGGTGCTATATGACCACTGTTTCTTATAGCTGAATAGTACTCTATGGTATACATATACCACATTTTATTAATCCACTTATGTATTGATGGGCACTTGGGTTGTTTTCACATCTTTGCAATTGTGAATTGTGCTGCTATAAACATTC